ATATTCGATAGTTTGTTCTTGATACTATGATTTGCGTGCAAGATGTCGTCAACAAACAGATTAACTCAGGATTGTGAGAGATACAGATTGATGAAGATTATGGTTAAATATTACGGTCGTTGGCATTACCCTGTACGATATGAAGTTAGACATTTTGGATGCTCGTTATTGTCTGGTGGTTCCATTGTTGTTACCCGTGTTCTTATTTGTTAACGTGGCATCACTTGGACAGAACAATATTTATATGGATGCAGTAAGCTTTTACCTTTCTGGGATTCTTGGTCTTATTTCCCTTGTAGTTTTTCACGAGTCTCCATGTAAATCGTTCTTTCACGCATAGTTTGCCTTCATTTCAATTTGAATTTGAATTAATATTCTGTTGACAAGTCGGTATTTTATTATCTGTGGGATTAAAGCGATATCCATACATATGTATATCAACTTTCATCACGATACACCACTTGTGATTTTTTACTTCGAGATTCGAGACCCTGCTGGTGGACTTAAGTCCCAGGGTTTGCCGTATAATGTATGCCACGTTTTAATTCATAAAGACACGTACGTGACGTTCTTCTGAAATTATCAGACATGAAAATTGTGAAGTACATTGAATTATCGGAATAGTGCACCTCCCCATCTAGATTTTGACATTTCTTTCGATCAACTTTAATTTTCTTCATTCTCTCCCTAGATTTCAAAATTAGGATCATCAGCATCATTGACAAATGAAACAACTGTACGATGTAGTTTTATTCATTATGTTTGTCCCAACAGTATCTTATTCTAAATTTATTGAGAATTGCTATTCACCTATGTGTGTTTCAAGTCCATCTATCAAAGTCATGCGCATTCTTTTTATCTGACTTGTATGTTACAGCATTAAATAAGCAGAGCTATTTCTGCCCATTGTTCAGCTTAATCCATCATAGACAATGAACTATTCTGGATTCAGGTTTGAAGCTGGTGGCGGACACACAAAAATCGTTTCCAAACTCTTATCTGATTACATTTCCTCCAGATACCTTGATCTTCAGGTCAAGTTCACCGAGCACGGTTATGTGAACATTGCCTCTGAAGTGATGCTAAAGTAGATTACGTAATTTTTTGTCTTTAATGGAAAGACTACTCACACAAATTAAAGAATTCCATGGTATTGGACGAAAAGTCAAGGTCATTATATCATAGAAAGCTTTGAGTAAGACTGGTCTCGGAGTATTAAGGTTCTCGGGATAATAACACATGAAGGGATTCTATAGATTTTGAGAGCAAAATAAGACCATGGTCACCAGCATATTTCTGGTCTCGAAATAGATTTTATTTCCTACTGGCAAATTAACGCCTGGGCGAACAACTATGACCGGAAGTGGTATTTAACTGAAGTAAGGGTCAGACATCAAAGTTGCATTCAATTAATGTCTCATTTACAGTATCTTTCCGTGCGGTAAAGTTATTTTCAACTAAACAGGATGACGTGTTTCAGGTTAATCCTAAGCTTTCCATCGTTTCTTTCCGTCGTGACATCATCCATACTTTAGGCACATGTGGTCGCTTTTAGCTGCTTTTATTTACAGACGGAAATAGACACGGATAATAATCTCATTACCATTTGTAAGTCAATGTTCTCTACGACTCTCCAATACTCTTAAGGTTTCAATTGACAATGGGCAGATGAAATAGAAATACTAATTATCAAAAAGAGCTCAATCATTATGCTACGTCTTGTAAATTTCTTTGGGGTTATTTCCGTTACTTCCAAGAACCTGGCGAAATCGATTTTTGCAACCTTTTATTTATAAAGCTCATCATCGTTTACGAATGACGTCACACGCACGTCATCAGCGCTTTTATGAGCTTTATGGCTTATTTAATTAATGCTAACGACATATGCCTTTTACAATGATGTTTACCAGAATATAGACTTCCGATATTTCTTTAAATCCCTCTCATTAGGAAATCTGTTTGTAATTGACGATCGAGAAAAAAAATTGATTATGATCGTCTTTTAATGCTATTATGGCGCACGCTGAAAATAATTTTTTTCTCCATTTTGGTTTTAAAACCTTTATGCTGATTAAATTGCATGCCTAAACACTTTTGTATGTACTGGTATGATTAAGTGAACAAATAAATGAAAAGGAAAAACAAATGTCTGCATTAAGTAAATGTTGTTACAAAACTCATATTATGTAAACGTTTCACTTATTTTGCACGGTGGAGTTTTGGAGTAAGTAATAACATTCAGGATTTGTTTTAATATTTTTTTAGTAAATGTTACAATGTTAAAAATGATCAAATGTAAACTACTGAAGTAACTATTGATTGAATACAGTGATATATGTAATAATAATTGAATTATCTATTGATTTGCAAGCTTTGGGATTTTAAGCAAATCTTACATGAAAGGAGAACAAATATGAGGCCTTATTTTTATAACGTAACACAGAAAATTACGTTTTGACAGCTATTGAACATGGGCAATTTCGTTGTCAATATTGTGACATTGCAATGCGATTTTTTCACTGGGGCAATGACATGCAAAAATAGTACATGGACAAATTCACTAGACGGCAATCGGATTATGTATAAACACATGATGATTGTTCATTCATATCATTGTATTAAAATAAGCACTGTACACGATCACACACTACAATATTAGTGTATATCCACCGGAAGTAGACAATTAGAGACAATTATAAAGTTATATTTGGTACTGTTATTGAAATTGATAACGATTCGTTTGTGTGCTCGTTTGAAATATGAACCATTTTGTATTTTCGGATTAGATAAAAGCTTCACGTAATAATCAATTATTGATCTCGTTACGATAAACAGTGTATATTGCATGAGTATGAGCATTTGTAACGTATATCAGCTAGAAAGGAAACCCATTATCCCGTGTGTATTGATGGTTGTAGGGGTTAGCAACACTTGGAAACATGAAAGCCAAAATAACATAGGGCTATAGTTGTAATGCTCATGTGTCGAATGTCTACCTGTTTGTCAACGATAACGAACAATATGTCAATTAAAAGCTATATTCAGAGTACAAAAACCAGCGATAGAGTTATCAGAAACCAAACAGTAAGAACTTAGAGGCACAAAATTGAGACAAGTGTAGACTAGGAGAGAAAATCCATGCGAAAAAAATGTGTTCTGAAAGAAATGGTCATTACTACTATGAGCATATTTTTAGAAATAATTAAGTTCCGCGAGAACTGTGTTGCGGAAATGAAATTAGGAATATTGATCGCCGATATGTCGAGAGGAAATGGAGAAATGCTTATAATCAGGCGAGCTAACATTGACGAAATCTTTATATAACATGGATATAGGACATTCATTATATGAGATTCTGTGTCATGTTAGAAAGTGTTAATTTTAGCCTGATGTACCATTATTGGGTAAAAAATACCAAAACCAATATTAGTTCTTATAGGTACCTTCATGTGAAAACCTGACAGTCTTTGTCGTAATGCACGCACTCGCCAAGGTGGATATCTTTAAGGATCTTGTTTGTGTGAAAGTATGAGAAAATCAAAGGAATCCACAGTAGACCGATTGTATCATTTCCTGGCTTCTCGGATAGCAAAAATGGTGTCAAAGTGATTATGGAGATAGTATTTCGTGTCCCTTTGATGTTTTTGATGGGAACCATTTCCTATTTGTGTAGATAGCGTCAGATTTCCCGACATAGTTTGCAGACGTTATAGCCTCTGTTTTACTGTCTCATCACACCATCGATGGCATTCTCTTCCTTCTTACACGACAATGGAACCAAGCAAGCAACACATAACCCATAGGTATACTGTAATTACACGCAACACCCAATGCTTGTAGTGGGATAATTCTTTAGATTATAAGAGTTGGAGAAAACATTTTTAATCAAACATGAAACGGAATGGAAAATGCTGTTGAGTGCCTGTATAGCAGACCATCAGGTGTACCACCAAATGACACCAAATGACATTTGAAATATCCACCGTGATTATCACGTGACCAATAGGGTGTGTATGCGCGTCAACTGACAAGCCATCGCATCATTTCTATCGATCGATCGACACACGCGGAACCTCTCCAATAATTACATACCTGTAGTCTTTACCTTTGAAAAATTGCTAATGTAGAATTCCAGCTAATAAACAGGGGTAGGATATTGCCGTACGAATTATCACTTTTGCCTGATTGCGTCAGGTGTGCCTAACCAAGTGGAATTCTCAACGTGGCCAACTGGAACATCATTGCAAGAGGTTGTATATCACAACGACCCCTGCAGACACCAGTTTTTTGTTAGTATCGTTTAAAGGACACACGACTTTTATCAATATCACACGGTGGAAACAAGAATTCGCTAATACATCGTTCACCGTGCGTGTCCCCTACTGTGGGCGTATACACTATTAAGGATAAAATGAATTCTCCTCGAACGGATTTCAGCAAAAGGCATCTAATCCTTATCGCACTGATGATGGTGTATTTGTACTGAAAGCAACGGACAACGATTTGGAAGTTCTATGGAGGTGACCGTTGTTGTGCAGCCGAGCTTCACTATATATACATAGTAAAAGTAAAGCGATACCCTGCCATGTAGGGCTTATTACGGGAACCACAATACGTGACATTTACATGTTAACCAATTTAAAAACTGTTCTTATCTGCTACCGTGTATTGGACGTATAAGTATGCTAGGGTTACTTTCTAAATATTGACACCGACGTTTAGGTTCGTTCTCATACGGATCCCTCCTGTATATGTGTTTGTAGTTTAAATGATCAAGGAAAATATGTAAATGTATGTGACGCACTCACATGTACGTGTATCTGGATGACAGCATCGTGATAATTACATTGTGTGCTGGTGCTGTTTAACAGGTGACAGCAAGCATGCTTTAGTAAGCAGCTCTTACGTACTGGAAAACTGTTATCAACACACATGGATGTCTCAAATTTCGCACAAATCCTGCAGATTATTCAGAAGTCACATACTCTTCAACCTCAATGATGTCTAGTCCAGTTAGACAGTTGCAAAACCGTCGCCTACCCCCTCTCCCGGGGGCAGGGACTGTCAGACACAATAGTGCCAATAGTGAATCACGTATCAGGACAGATTCACGGTTATCTGGTAAGTTGGCTTCAAATTTTATTTTTAAAAAAAGACATTATGTTGTTCATCTGAAGGATGTCTTTTCATTTTTGAATACCAGAATTTTCTGGCTTTGTGGTATGAAACCACAAATTTAATTCGTTGCTGATGTATAATTTCAAAACAAACTTATATGGTTAATAGAAAGGTGGGTATATTCAGAAGATTTAATAACACGTGAAAGAAATGTAAGACGGCTATTGCAAGCAAACAATCACAGACATCAAATTCAATTAATGGTCTGGTCTCCATAGAACCTTTTATTTATCTAGTCATGCTGTTCATCAATTTATCTTTACTTCTGATTGCGTACGTGCTTTCCCTGTAGAAATACTGTCATCAGCCTTTTGATTAAGGATCACATTATTTACAATCATTGAAGAAATTGTAGATATCTGTACATAACACACATACAGAAAAATCATTGTACATCCTGGTCGTCATTTATTTACTGTCTCCCTGACAGTTGGTATAAACATCGTTCTATTAACAACCATTGTTGATAAAATGCTTGACCCGAATATACTCTTCGCACAGGCGATATCAAAATATCCACATATGTTATGACTGTTTGTGTTAGTACTTCGCCTGCCACATTGCTAAGAAATCACGCCTTTTCTTTGATAAGTGATCTCTTTTTATGTTACAATAGGACTTGACACCAGCTTTATAGTAATTGTGATAATATTGGGCGAGTGAACGTCTGAACAACAGCTCTTTTTCATTAAGTAGTTGTGGAAATATTCACACTTAAATGAAAAGTCTAGATTTAAATCAACATTCGAAGTTTATATTTCCTATTACATGATATTAGAATAGGCTGATAAACATCATTATTTTAAGTTCAGAATATTTGACAAGTTAATATCGCCTGTTGGAACGATATTTAAATGAATGATGATTTGAGAAACCTTTCAAACTCGGTCATACCAACAATTTGATCAGTTTCAATTGAATAGAAACTGAATACTGTGAACGCTTATTACGTGTCTTTATATTCTCGTTATATTAATATCATAGTAGGTAATCTAATACCTTATTCTGAAGTAGAAGATATTGTCCGAACCTTCACACCCCACGAAATGTCCACGATAATTGAGAAATGCTTATTGTAGTCATTCCCTCAATACACGAGTGTCATTATACACTAATCACTGGATATTCGTTTCAGAAATAAGAAAGATTAAATAGAATCAAATCTAGATCATTAAGAGAATACTTTTCTCCCATTAGTAGGTTTGGCACCACTTACTTCAGGGACACAACACTGCATGTGTTTTCTTTGTCCTTATGTTTGTATCTATTATGTTGTATGTTCTGTTGCGGAGATTTTATATAAGTCTTCATCATGCTTTCAACACTTCATATCACTGGCATCAGTAACGAGTCTTAGACGTTTGAGCCGATATTATATACTTGTATTTGAATAATCTGATTCCGATATGAAAATAGAATGCAATTAAATTAAATCTTGGGGTTAATGCAAACCCCCTAATTGATTTTTACATTAATTTGAACAATTTTTATTTCATTTACCTTGTAGTTTCCGACACTAAGCATGACTGACAGGTCAAAAATGGGCGAAACAGCTGTATGGTTCTGTTTGCTCTACTATTTGGATTGTATACAATTCTTAATTTGTATTGAAGGGCGCATAAACCTGTATCTTCTGTGTATTTGTTAAAAACATGGTATTGAATGCGTTTAATTTACTAGTATGTCTTGTTAATTGTTAAACAGTGTCAAAAACGATGAACGAATTTACACTTAAATGGTCGCCAAGTAAAAGTTTTGAAAAACTTTACATTTTAAAAGATAATGCCATTTCCTAAAAAATATCGAAAAGATTCCATTTTCATTTTTATCTGTCAGAATTAGTGAAGGATATAACGGATGGCAAAAGTGTCTTTTTATCTTAAAGTACATTTTTGCAAAATGTCGGCAATTGACAGATTAATTCAAAACATTTGGTTGCAAGAGATGCAGGTTGATGAAGATTTACGGACGTCATATCTTCATATTGCGGAAATATTCTATTTCTCAATTTCCGTATACTGGATTCCAATTTATCTTCATATCTTTTAATCATTCTTGTAAATAAAAAGATGACTACTGATAAATAAACACTTAAATATTTTCTTTTTGTGTATCACATGATGATAACGATATCAAGAATATTGTTTATTCAGCATGATTATAATGTTGAAAAATATCACATCATTTGGTGTTTTTATTGAGCGGTTAACTTTGAGACGTACTTTTCAACACTAAATACACTGAGCTATTTTCATTTCAGAGTTACATAACAGACATATATTGTACATTACGAATGATGTCACCATTTCAGTTCGTTTAAAATCGACGTCTGTTAGTAAGTGATACATTGTTTGATTTGGTAGATGAAGTGAAATTAAATTAACATACCTAAGATGAAAATTGAAAGTTAAAATTTTCTTTACAATTTTTATCACGGCGTAAATGAACAATAAAAAAACATATCCGATATTAAACACTGCAATACAAAACGACAAGATATAAAGAGAAAAAATGTTTCCATTATTAGCACACGGTGACATAAGATACCAATCACCAACACACAGAGACAGAATGAGTCCATTTGTAACACTCAATAACACGGCTATAATAACAGCAGAGTGTAAGCAATGTAAAAACTCAGGAACTGAACATAAAATGGCGAAACAACTTCGAAATAAATATTTTCATCTCTGCATTTCAGTATCCTGTCATGTTAAGATATCTTTTCTTAAAATCAAGGTACACTGGTGTCATACTGTTGTTACCATGGTCACGACCTCATTTCGGTTCACAACAATAAGATACCGATGGCGTAAGCTACTCCTAAGTCGGATCTAATTGTGTCTATATGTTAGCAGTAATAAATAGTACATATACATAGCCTTATTGGTATACGAACACTCGGTCGAGTATTACATAGAAAAGTATTCGAGAAATGAATGAAAAATGAATGCGTTCATTATATAAGTAAGATGGTGAAATTATGTTTATAGTAGATCGAAATATGAAAGGTGGTATGGTAAAAAGTGTTTTTTACAATTCTTCCCCATATCCAATGAAGAAATTCACAATGTTGTCATGTAGTAATATGTAGTTTGGCGAAAATCAGTGTTACAAGAGATTTATCAGTACATTTTTTAATTGTGTTTTTACAACATTTTATATAATGATTAAGCGTATTTCTAGATCCCCTTTTGTACGTTATTTATATTGTACGTGTAACAGAATTAATTCCGGTAAAAATCTACACCAAACCGAACTTTGCTTTATGTAATGTTCGTTATCATTAAGTTAAGTGCTTTTACCTAAAGGTATTATTTTTTCTTGTTTTGAATCGGTATATCTTTCCGCTTATAGGAATCAAACCGTAAATTAATAAATAAGGACTGCATAAGTATCAAGAGATTAACACATTTCAATACGAATTTAAACAGAAATACATAAGAGCCAATCATTGAATGAAACTGAATCAGTCTCTTCTTCTGTCTTTCTGGGGCTCGCGATTAATAAACTTACAGATTTTCGTGCGAGATGTCAATGATTGACAGTTAAGTTGGAATACAGGGTATCGAGAAAAGCAAGTTAATGAAGGACTTTTGGTAAATCATAGGTCGCCATCATAATCTCTTTGGGGAAAAATTCTCTATCCTTGTGCTGTGAGAAAAACATCAAGAAAATACCAACATGTCAACATAATCATAATCCAAACTCAGATTCCATTAAACAATGGCAAAAAAAATGTGAACAAAAAATACTTACACGGTGACCCCTGAAAAAGTACAAGGAGGATAAGACCATGTGTTCTGTAAGAGTAAGCGTCTTCTGCTTCAAGGAAGACACCCGCCATGTAAACTGTGGTCGATCCAAGTAACTAATGTCACGTTCTTAAATGAGAACTAGGTTTATAACATAGGAACCAACAAGCAAACTAACGAGCATCAAAAACGCCCAGCTTCATATCATACAAAGAAATAGAATATTTCTACGTGGGGTCACTATATATATGTGTGTGTGGCGAACATAAACCTTCCCCTTTATTTAATCAATCTGCATCTTTTGAAACCCGACGTTGCTTATATGACCGTAAGCTGACTGCTTCCTTTAAGAAAATCGTGATATTGGGAACAGGCCCTTGGGTATCGAATCAACTGTGACATGTAAATAACATAGGTTTGGGATGCAGAGATTTTGCTATCCAGAAATGGAAAATTCACAATAGGAAATTTGGTTTCTTTGTTGGGAAAGATCGAGACAAGTAGTTGATGTAGAAGGGTCTGTCGTGTCTTTCCAATTTATTAAGAAATATGTTTTGGTAAAATTCACAATTATATATATAAACAGACATTCACTTTTCTAAAAGTAGAAAACTCTCATAACAGTTCAGAATAGGGTATGGTGGTGTACATGTTGGAAAAATCCAATTCCTATTGAAGAAACTTTTTTCAGAAGAGGGTGTTGAATATTTATAGTCGCAGTAGAAATTACAACAGTATGTACTTGTGATGATCAAGATTTTTATTGTGTCATTGATGAAGAAGAAGCGGCTTACCCATCTAGAACTCCTTTCTCTCGGTGTACTTTGTCTTTGGTTTAAATCTTTCTTTCAATCATACTCTGCTATCGAAAAAAAAGTCTTTTGTCAAGCGTCAAAAATAATCGAATGATTTACAGTCATCATAAAATCGTTATCATCAACGAGATGTTTCTAGCTGTCATATTAACTTGTGTAGTATTAATAATTAGGATGTATCAACCTGAATCTGTAACAGCCTGCTTTGTCTTCTGCTGGTTCCATTACATGCCAATCTGTCGATAGAGACACACATTAGCGAACATACGGACGCTGTCAACATGAGGTCCTCAGAACGTAGATCGGATACCAGGTGTTTTACCTGCCGTAAGGACGCGCGACATCGTCAATCAACAGTGTATTACCTGTCTCG